CAGTGCCTACTATCTCAAACATCCTGGTAAATCTTTATTGAACCCATTCCAGTTTAATAATATCCTTCCTATAAAAGGGCAACCAGGTATGCACACTATACTCCAGGAGAAGCTAGATTATTAATCCAGAATCTCCACTAATGTTCTGGGGACCCAGGTTCCAATCCCACCACTGTAGCTGGTGGAATTTGAATTCCATAAAAACTAAATATCTGAAATCAAGAATCTACTGATGACCATAAAACTATTGTGAATTGTTGGAAAAACCCATCTGGTTCACTAATGTCTTTCAGGGAAGGAAATGTGCCATCCTCACCTAGTGTGGCCTACATGTTACTCCAGACCAACAGCAATGTGGTTGACTCTTAACAGCCCTGTGGCAACTGGAAGTAGGCGAAAAATGATGGCCAGCCAGGAACACCCACATCCCAAAAGTGAATTTAAAAAAGTATTATTGAGCTAATTGATTCTTTTAAAAAAAAAAATGGTTAAACAAACGATAGCTTCAAGGTTATTATTAAGGATACCACATTGCTTAAATTTAAACAGACACAAAAACCAATCATGCAAACTGCCATAGTGGGATTTGAATATTAATCTAGGCCTCTGAGTCATGAATTAGTTTGTTTCACTAAACTTTGTGTCAGACACTGATATAAAATTTTAAGGTAATTAATAATATTCTCAGAATAGAGTTCTTTGCTTAATGAAAGTTAATTCCAGCTAAATACATATTCTAATTACAATTCTCAATCTCAAAGTATTCCACCATTTGCTGATTTATTTATAAAAAGGTCTGAATTTTGTCACATCTATTTTTGCTCAGAATTTATGCTTCTGCAGAGTTCTTTATTTAGATCTGATTTTAAAATAAATGCCTAAATGAGTGTTATGACCATCAGACATGTCTAACACATGGTGAGTGAGCTGTTAATTTTGCTCATTTATCCTCCTTTCAATTTGGCTAATTCAACTGCAAGTAGAAGAACATCAGGTTTTTGGCTTAAGCTGGATAATGATAAGTTT